TGTGTGTGTGTGTGTGTGTGTGTGTAACATGAGCTATGCAAAAACAATAAAATAAAGTGGGAGTGAGCTTGCCAGTCACTGAAAAGTGTCTGTAGAGCCAGGCAGGTAGGAGGAAGAGGACAGGACAGCGTGGGCGTCACCGCACTCTGCTCTTTAGCTTGGCCAGGGCAGCTGCAGGCAGTATGACCCACCAGATGTAAGGAGGAGACTCTTCCTGTTCTTCCCCAGCTGAAGGATGATGAACAGACCCTGGAAGGTTCTATACCTCCTGTGGGCCGTTCTGGTGGCCCTGATGGCCTTCAGCTACCAAAAAAGGAAGACAACGTTTATAAAAGTTGAGGAAGTAAATGCAGTAGAGACTTTGGTGAAGAAAGCCTTGCAGTACGTCACAGACGCATACAATGAGAAAAGTGAGGACATGTACAACTTCAGGATTCTCCGCATCCTAAAGATCGAGAAGCAGGTCAGTGTGTGGTTTCCCTGTCTCTCCTTCACATGGTTAATATGGAGCTCCAATGCTCTGGTAAAGTCCTACTCCACTGTGATATAGCCTCCTGTAAAATGGGCGGTTTGGTTTTAGTTTTGGTAAGGTCTCTCTGTGTAACCTAGGTTGTTCTCAACCTTCAGTTCTCCTGCCCTAGCCTTCCCAGTACTGTGAGTACAGCCATGTGCTACCACGCTGAACTGAAAGTGGGCATTTTAGGAGACACGTACCTTCACTAGACTAGATGAAGCTGTCCTTTCAATGATAACCAAGATCAAAGCCAATAGGCCACATGCCCAAGGCCATCTCTACTGGCCGCCTACTTTTGTAAGTAGTGTCATTGGAACTAGTCATGCCGGGTCCATCTGGGATTGTTGTCATGTTACCATGGGCAAGTTGAGAAATTACAACACAGGCCACACAGCCTACAGAGCCTTACCTGTTTACTGTTTACTATCTAGCCTCCATAGAAAACCTATATACAGTCCTTCCTGGAAAAATTGGCCTTTTCTGTGCTGTCCAAGGAGTAGATCAGCCCTTGAAGAAAGAGAGGATTTTGGTAGTCTCACTGAATGACTACAAAAAGCTTGGAGTCAGACAGGAAGGAAACCAAAACTTGCCAAGCCTGGGGTATGGTGTAAGGGAGTCTCCTCATGTAGGAGCCACACTGGGTAGAAGGGATTGAGCTCCACTTCCTTCCCCCTCGCTGCCCACAGGTGACTGACCATATAGAGTATCACATCAGTGTGGATATGCAGAGGACCACATGCCTGAAGAACGAGACGAGCAGCTGTGAGATCCAGGAAGGCGCGCTTTACAAGGTGCTGGGCAAGCACATTCCCACAGACAGATGACATTTTTCGTGGGATCCTCTGTGGTTTGGGGATGAGGGAAGGTAGACTCATGAATGATGTCTCCTCTTTCAAAGAGGAAAAGTGGAGATGGAAATGGCTGAGGCTAGATGAAGGGGCCCAAAGGGAGCTGTTGGTGGCTTAACTGCAGGAAGACACCCTGGACCAAGGGAAACAGT